TGTACGAATATCGGTCCGGCTGTCATTTCGAGTAAAATTTGCAAGTTTCTGTGCAAAAACAATATCACGCATTACATAATTACTCCATATTATCCTGCGAGGAACGGTACAGCGGAAAACGCAATTAAGACACTTAAAAATAAATTCAAGTTATTTTTGTTAGAGGGCGACAAAAAACAGAAATCCATAGCCAGATAACTTTTCAATTACTGCTTAACTCTGCAAATTACAACGAGAGTATCACCAGTGAAGTAATCATCAGGAGAAAAATTTTGAATGGATTTCATTTATTAAAACTAAATATAGCACGTTCTATACAAAGTAAACAAGAGACTGAGAAAAAATATTCATCAGAAAATACAACTATCATTGTGCTATAATACTGTCATTTTGAAATGAATGGCAGGATTGTGCCGAAAAATCTAAGGCACACTTATAGGGTCAAAACTGAGGTTTTAGATAAAACAAGTTTAGTTACTTATACTGTTCAAACAGAGGATAATTCGATCTGGAAAAACCATGTAGATCCTTTTAAAACCTTACTCCTTGACCCAAAGGCTATGCCATGTCTGAAGATGGCGGAAATGTGTCGAAAAAAGCAAAACTACCAGACAATATTAATCTGCTAAGGCATTCCTAGCGCGAACGCAAACTGATCTCTTGATTGAATTATAACTAAATTCAATTACAATAAATTTTTCTTTCAGAGGGAAGGATTGTAGTATATGTAACTCACGGACGCGTCGGTACGCTAACAATCGAGCAACCGTAAGTTCAAGTCTCTGCACATTCCGAGTACAACTGTACCCCAGGCATGTCGTCTCGTTGTCACTTTAAACATAAATATACTTGCTATTGTAAGTAACAATAAACGTGCAGCCAAAGTAGCAAACATGTAAATAAAGCTTGAAACAGTAGGTTCATTTAAATACAGTTGGCTAATTCCCATTGGAATTTTATCAAAAGAAAGAAAATTGTTCATACTGAGTATGTCATTAAATGTGATAGGAGAATAGAATCGAAGAATGCTTCTTTTACCATCAAGGACGGAATATCAGGATCTGGAAAAATTATAAAAACAGAAGATACATGCAAACAGTTCCTTGTTACTGCACGAAGGGATAAATAGCCCTATTACCAACAGCCTCAGGAAAGCTTTTAGGAAACTCATTGATTATTAAAACCATACGAAATTATTTTATTGTGATTTATACCAATATTATTAGTTGATCTAACTTACTGTAAGTTTACATTTTTCTAAACTAAAAAAATTAGTCACAGGTATTTTTTATTGATTTGTTAAAATTTTTTTATTTAGCTCTATTGTCGAGCCTCACAACCGTGAAATTATCTATTATTA